GGGAGGTGTTCTATTATATTCAGAACAGGTACTATGAGCAGAGATGAGTAGATTCCCATCTTTATTTCACCCCCTGAAGCGTCCTACATCAAGGATATAGCACATATGCAAGGAAACATAAAATGTGTTCTCATTTAATGATTTCTAGGTGGACAGCCTTTGAAAAATGATTCCCAGTATCTATTCAACAGTAGGAACAATATATCAGGAGCATAGGACCATAGGATGATCACCTGTTGCATAGTGTACCCCCCTCTCCTGGTGGTTCACCCCCTGTGAAAGTTTTTCCTGTAGGACCGGACCTTAATTGAGGTGAGGGGTCTATTTCTATGTATATTTGGAGTAGATATATCATATAGCTGGCCCAGAACACATATAGGATCCTTCTACAGGAATTAAAATATAGAAAATCGCATTTTTGATGTTTTTACATGTCTTAATCTTGCATAAATAATCCAGCCTGCTCATATATGATTATCACAGTATATATACTTGCTTTGTATGACAAAGATCAGTTCAAAATAGGTTGTAGGCTTGAGATACTGCATATGCTTGCTATTTCTACTGATAAGGGATCAATACCTTCAAAACATCGAAATTTAATAATCAGAAACTTGGAGTACATTCCAAATATATTCAGTATCATATTCATAAATTCACAAAACAATCCAACAGGAATTGAGTGCTGAGGAAGTGAAATAGATAAGAAATGGAGTGTGGGAAAGTCCAAAGACCCAAAACATCGAAAATGCACCTCAACCTTACATTATCATTGCCTAAATAGGCTGCCATACTACCCTGGGAACGCCAACCTAATTAGCTCAGTTCGCATCAATCCCTGACACTGCCAATAAATACCTGAATAATGCTGAATATCCTCCCTTGCTAACATAAGGCAGGAACTCCCCATGGGACACCGGTGCTACTGCTGCCTATTACCGAGTACAACGTACGCAAACATTCTATTTTTGGTAATACTGAGTCACAACGCGTCGGCAATGTCCTTAAACCTTCGTGCTCGTCGTTGTCCACGACGAGCTCGAGTATTCAATGTAAATTACATCTAAATGCACTGTTTTTTTGTGCGCCCTCACTGCGTAACAATTTAAAGAGTCTTAGTGCACTATTTTATAAGGCAAATCATGAGTATTTCATTAGGAAAATTCAGAAACAAGCATAGTATTGTAAGTATGTAAGTCAAGAGGGCTGAGGTATAGCACTTGCTGAGCTTCTGTCAGTGCTAGCACTTGTCTGGTGTACAGAACTGACAGAGGCGCTTGTGGCACTTCCGCTGTCGTTGGCGCTTGGGGTACTTCCACTCTCGTTGGCGCTTGCAGTACTGCCGCTGTCGTTGGTGCATGGTTTCTTGCGAGGACCGCGCTTCTGGCCTTTGTCTGACCGCTCTTTGCGTGCCCTGCTTCTCCACAGCAATGCCACTTCCATTTGTCGTGGTGACAGTGCTGACACCTGTTGCACGAGCCTTGCGCTTCGATCCTTGATGAAATTGGGCTTGAGTCTCTGGAGGAGTGGCTGCTGGTAGTAGGGGGAGGAATGTCACTGCTGGGAATGTCGTTGGAAGTGCCATTGTTGCTGTTGGAAGTGTTGTTGTTGTTCGAAGTGCCATTGTCGCTGTTGGAAACACCTGTTGTCGCTGTTGGAAGTGTTGTCGTTGCCATTGGGAAGTCCAGCTTCGTCTCTGTCTCCAGTGCGGCCGTTTAGTGCTTCTTCGAACTGCTGATCCTCCCAATCCTTAAGTTCAGCCTCTGTCAAGTTTACGAAAGTGCATAGCACCCGACTGCCATGCGTTATGCAGCACTGGTCAATTCAGACCGTGAGCTGATGTCCCCTGGGGCGCAGAACTTGCTGAGCGGCCAGTTCTCGAGGATGATATGGAATTTGGTGGTGATATAAGAGTCGAAGTTTTGATAGTACATACAAGGGACTTTGAAAGGTGCAGCTTCAGCTTCTGTTATGTTATTGTGTTAGATACCGTACACCAAAGACCAAATAGCAAACATACGAAGTTTCCTGCAGGATTAGCACACTGATGGCTTTCTTGAGAGCGAGAACTTCTTGAAGATGAGTCTTTGCGAACACCTGCGAGTAGACTACAGTTAGTAATCGTTAATAGATGAACGGCCTCTGTGCTAACCTTGGACACCAGCGATGCAGAAGGCCTCCATACGCAAGGCAACATCCATAGCTGAAGTACCGTAGCATGCATCCAGAAAATCTGCAGCTCGTTGAGTGTGAAAGAGGTGCGGCTGGTTGAAATGATCGAGGTTGGAGCGCGTTGCGATGATCAAGACTTCAACACCTGTGCGAGCGTTCAAAGAGCGAGCCTTTGAGTTGTTAGCATTATGAATTATGATTAAAAAAAATACTTAGTACCTCTCAATCAAGTGTCTCCAAGGTCTTTCGAACATCTTGAAAAGCATTTAAAGGCACGTTGTGGAGAGCAAGATTTTTCATTTCACGAAATTCTTCGAGTGACTGTACTGCATCATTGGTTTCCTCCTCTTGTGCGGCCTTTGTCATATTGTTCCAACGTGATGCAAGCTCTTTCACGCATTGTGAGGCTTTGACAGATGGAGAGCCAGAAGGACGTTCTAACGTAGGTAGAGACATGAGCATCGTCAAATGAAATAGTGAAAAAACATACCAGCGTTGATGCGTTTCACTTCTTTGCGAACAAACGCATTCCACCGCGTGGGGCTGCGTGATGACTGTGCTACTCGAGCGCGCTGCATAAGTTCTCCAAAGTAGTACTCGACACTGTGTTTGCCGAATCTCTCATGTAGCAACTTTGCTTGTTCATTTACGATGTTGCGAGCCTCTTGGAGTGCCTGTGCATATGAAACACGGTGTGTTAGCCGTTTGTCTTTCAAAACAGCTTTGTCAGCTGCTGAAAGCTTGTACCAAGTCCTGGTGCGTTGATGCCAGGGTTTGCGAGGCTGGTTGGTAGTAAGCCTCCGCATTTTATTAGCATAGCGGCCAAGTGAATTGGAAGTGTCAGGCATGACTGCAATAGCCTGCAGCAGTGCGAAATAAAGCAAAAAAAAAGAGACCTGACAAAACAAAGAGATCCGACAGCAAAAAAGAGATGAAGACCCGACAAATGGCAGTGTTCGCTAGTGTGTCTATGCACGTGACTTTAGATCTAAGCAAGATATATGTGCATCAAAAACCATCGTCACCAGTAATGAGCATCCAAAGCCAGTGTGCCTCAGAGATGGCAAGACCCCTTCCTGAAATCTCATCAACAAACTCCTGGCCAGATTTGCTGGTGTCTACAGCATGGGCAATGCAAAGCACAGCACGGAGAGTGAAGCCATGAGACTGGAGATAGGAATCAGCAAGATCACCAAAGGAAGGCATGGGGGTATCATCATGTGGAGGGGGTTCGTAGTGTGCAGATTGCACTCCACTTAACTCCCGAACAGCCTGATAAACTCGGGGCTTCGATGTTCCGGATGCTTCGAGCGACATCGAGCTGTGTGCTGGAGCAGCGGTTCTCCATGCACAAGAAGACTGAGGTGAAGATGTAAGTGGAAAAGCTGGAATAACGATGCGACGTGGTGTCTCGGAGGGTAATTCGACATGGACACGGCGTGGCGTCGTCTCAGAGTGTAAGTTGACATCGACAAGTACTGTAATAAGTCCCATTAGTATTTATATTGAATAACAAAGAGAATGTACTCGCAAGGATCCAATTTCACGGAAGAAGATTGGTGTGAACTCTGGAGGCCGATGAAGGTGCGATCTTCTTGGGTAGCTGTATAGGGCGTTAGACAGAGTGACGATGAGACGGCACAAACAAGATGATGAACATACCTAAGGGACGGTGCGTTTCGTTCTCCTTTGCCTTGAGTGTGTCGAGGACCTCACCCTTCATGATCATCCATGCAATTGCTTCAGCAAATGAAATGAATTTTTTGTACTTTGGGCGCTGAAAGCCCGAGACAGCTTGATGGCAATCTTTCCTGCATAGTAGTTTCAACAGTTAGTATTGGAGTGACATAGAAAGATGTGAGACGCACCATGTAGTGAAAATACCCGTCTCAAACCCAAAAAGAACGCTATAGAAACCTGTGACTACTTTTTCGTGGCGCTCCTGTTGAAGCACGCCATGTGCAGTGTCAGAAGTCAGAAAGGTGCGAGCAGCATCAGCAGGCAAAGTGTCTTCATTGATCTTCGCAGTCTTGATAATAGATTGGAGGCTGTCAAGTTTCCAGGCATGTTCAATTGACAGACAACGAATGGCAATAGGAAAATAATGAGCGCCTGAAGGATTTGTGATAAATGGTCTGTAAAAGAGTTAGCCATCTAGTTTGTATAGTATGCGAAGGCAAACCGTTCAGTGAAAACACCAGAGTTGCAACCACCAAACACTACATAGCATCTGGATCTGGAAGAAGAAGAAGTTGACATGAGAACTTGAATGTGATGGTGGCGATCAAATAGAGACGATGTTGCCAGTGAGAACATTGAGATGATGCGATAACAGAGTGGCTGATTCAGACACTTACTAACGATCAAACCTTCGCATACAGAGTCAGTGACTGCCAATTCGACTCACTGGCTGAATAAATTCGATCTTAATCTTTCGCCTTCCTGCTTTCTAGGCCTTGAATATACTTCACCAATAGTTCGGTCTTAATCTTTCGCCTTCTTGTATAAATTCGATCTTAATCTTTCACCTTCCTGTAAATTCGATCTTAATCTTTCGCCTTCCTGCTTTCTCAGCCTTGGATATACTTCACTGATAATTCAATCTTAATCTTTCGCCTTCCTGTCTCCTTCGCAAAATCTAATGTCCAGAGGGAACCATCATGATTGTGTGATTCGACTACGAAAACAATGATTGTATCAACGAGTAAGTACTAAGTCAGATAAGTATTCCACCAGGGTGCCTATGCCTTGCTGCAGGTCATCAACTTCATAAGGTGCATCAGCAGTGTCATCCGCGTCATCCGCATCATCCTCCGGTGCTTCTGGTAATGCACTGTCCTGCTCCATACGAGATAGTACCGCTCCTTTCCTCGTGCCAGGTGATGCCACACCAGTGAAACCAGATAGTGCGTAGATTTGCGAGATGCGAGCAAGCAACTGGAAATTGATCAGACAACGGCGTGCACAGAATTCCTCGACAGCGACTTTTAGAAGAGAATCGTCAGCAAGCGAATTGAGAATAAGATTGAAATGTTGGTGTTCATCAATGATTGCTATGTGGAGGCGCCGCACTTCAACATTGCAGCGCTCGATTTCCTCCTTGGCACGCTTAATGCACAACCATTGGCGCATGACCTCGCGGACGGCTGGTTTCGCCCAAGGTTTTTCTCGAACATCCTGACGTGTCTCATGTAGGAGACTAAACTCCTCGAGGAAGCTATAATGCGAGACTCTGGACCATTCAAGTGGTGCACGAGGGGGATTGAGCTCTAGCGCGGCTTCGTTATACTTCTTGATAGCATTTTGGATGGTGCGACAACGGGTTTGAAGAGACTTTGAAATGTGTGTTTGCATCTTGTAGGCTACACACTGGCGTAAGTGAAGACACATGAAAAAAGAGTGACTCACCAGTCTGCGATATATTGAGCTTTTGAAGCTCGAAAAGACGCTGGACAACCAGCCGTTGAAGCTGGTCAAGTGCACACTGGTACTTGTAGGTTGCCATATATTCCATTGTTTGCTGATATTCTAGAGTCGACGGCTGCCATCAGTGAGATATTCCCATCGTTACTTCCATTGAAACGACTTCATGTTGAAGGGTAGCAAGGCGTTCGGTCGCATAACGGCGCTGCATTTCGAGTCGTCTTGTAGATGAGAGATCAGCGGAGTACGAGCTCTGTGAAGGAGGGAGAAATTGATAGTCTGACGGCGTAGTAGATAAGAACTTGGAGTTAGCGTCATGTGCCTGGCACCTGATGACGTTAATAAAAAGACGTCAAGAAGGAATCAAAAAAAAACTTACTCCGTGTCTCTCAATTTTTGAAGGAGCTCCACATACACCATAGTGTGCACATCCCACGTGGACTGTTTGCCAACATTTGCGAAATAGTCAACCTCTTTGGCACGCCAACTCTCAAGATCATCATCACTGATGCTAAGCAACCTCTTCGCTTTGTCAAGTGCAATTGATTCCGAGGCCAAGATACTGAGCGCCTGCTTATAGTTGTTAAAAATCATGGTAGCGAGGTTGAGGTACTTGTCCTCATCCCATTGTTTGAAGAATAAGTCGAGGAAGACATGTCTATGGTAGGGACTCGCATAGCGAATGACAGGGGCGAATGGCATTTGATGCGCTGAAGAAGTGTTCGATGGTTCTGAAATCCTCAAGACCTGCGCCCTGGATGCCGTTAGGGTGGTTCTTTGTTTGACATGCGAAGTTGTGCGCGTAGCCGTGGAATGTGTCCACGCACATACAGGCATCCTTGCTTCTTGAATGCTTCCCCAAGGCTACTCGAGCTGATAGTCGATGCAATCCGCAGCCAATGTCGTAAGCCCCAAGATTGCGCTCACCAAGAACCTCGATAATTTTTGAAATGATGGCGAGAGGGTACTTTGCACTGTTGGTATTATAGTAAATAAAAATAATATATCACAAATGAAATACTTACAGTTCACCGCTGCGCACCATGTCAGTCACCCACAATAGGAGGCCATGACGACAGGCAGCAACAAAGAGGCCAGTCTCATCGAAAATACTCCACATCTGTTTCTTCTCTTCACCGGCGGCAGCCTTCCAGTTCTTGCTGCAATCGGAAGACATGACTTGTCGTGATGAGTCCTCGGTGTCAGCGTCATCGTCATTCCCAATAGCAGGAACAACATCCTCAGGCTCTGAAGTGTCCGCAGGCATTGGTTGCGACCGAACTTCATTTGCGAACTGGTTGACGTAAGGCCGAGGAAGCATGTAGTCGCTGTCAGCATACTCCCTCATATCTCCACGCTGACGATCACCTACTTGTAGCATCCTTTTTGCTGAATTCCCACCATCAATGACGAACATGCGATTGAATGTGAGAGGTGATTCATCCTCGAGTGCATAGGCACATGGAGGGCAGGCGTTAAGGACCCGCCAGTTCAGGGTATCACGACCAAGGGCAACATTGACCTTTTGCTCGATGGAGTGGACCATAGTTAAGTAGACATCGAATGCGCCCGCTAACATTGTGCGATAATGTCGTCTGTAAGGTACCTGGAATGACATTAAGATTAGTGTGACAAAAATGAAGGACTACATACCTTGTATGAGTCACATATTACTTTGCTAAAGGCCTCTACACTGAATGAAGGTTTGCGTGAACGAACGAGTCGGTAATGTTCCAATGTACGGAGAGAAAATACAAGTGAGGGAGTATGTGGGACGTGACCAACATAGCCAGCGTTTACGAGTGTGACAGATGTCAAGATGTCGTCCTCACGTGGGATGAATGCGTGTGATTCCAAAGTGAAAAGGTCGACGACTTCGATGGTAAAGCCATGTTCAGTTGACAGTGGTGTAGTCAGAGGGGGAGCTGAGTTTGATGCCTTCCAGTGCAGGAATGCATCGGCGAGAAGGGGAAGGATAGGCGTCCAATTTGCATGCAAGCTATCAAGGTGGCTTCGCCAAGTCCTAGTATCTTTGCACACTCGATAGTTCCAGCTATTGGCCAGTGTCAACACTACAGTATCCAGCATAAAGAAAATACTCACCGGTGATCAACAAAGTCGCGAATTGCATGCACAATCGTCTCGTCCTCGTTCCAAGACTCAGGTATGGGTTCCCAGTCTCCATTTTGCCCATCGTGGTCCATGGCGTCCGTGGCTATAAAGTCTTCGTGAGGCAGTTCAGTGCATATTTCACCAAGGACATTGAGGGTATCTTGACTAAGACCTGAGAAGAAGATCAGCATAGAGTAAGACAGTGAAAGAAAGAAGGTACCAGTAATGTTGAGACGGTAGCGTTCTTGACCTGCGGTGCGTTCGCGGGCCACTGCTGCCTGGGATAAAACTTCATTGCGTCGTTCTCCAGTATGGCTGAAGCCAGAGACATGAACTTTGCGAGAAAGACCCTTCCGTCGCTTGGATGCATGCATTGAGCACTGAGTAGAGTGGTGGGGGAACAGACTCCAGAGGGACAGTATAAGAGTGGGAACGTGTGTGTTCAACACGTGGGGTCGACAATCAATGAGTGTAGTACATGTCACACGCGCATAAGTAATAGACTGGAAAGAAAAAGCACTGTTAGTAGAGTGGGACTCCCATGATTTGAGGGCGCACAAAAACAGTATATTTAAATGTAATTCTGACTGAATACTCGAGCTCGTCGTGGACAACGATGAGCACGAAGGTTTAAGGATGTTGCCGACGCGTTGTGACTCAGTATTACCAAAAATAGAATGTTTGCATACGTTGTACTCGGTAATAGGCGGCAGTAGCACCGGTGTCCCATGGGGAGTTCCTGCCTTATGTTAGCAAGGGAGGATATTCAGCATTATTCAGGTATTTATTGGCAGTGTCAGGGATTGATGCGAACTGAGCTAATTAGGTTGGCGTTCCCAGGGTAGTATGGCAGCCTATTTAGGCAATGATAATGTAAGGTTGAGGTGACAATGACTGCCGACCATCATCATCATGCACAGAAACCGGCGACATATACCAGATGCTGCGAAGCAGCAGTGGGTTGTTATGTCCACACATGGCATGACATCGAAGGCCATCGTGCAAGTGACAGGATACAGCCATCGAACAGTCAATCAAGTTCTTCAGCTCTCACAACTCACAGGCTCTGTCGTTCAAAAACCTCTGGAAATTGGTTGTCCTCGTCTACTTACAGCACAGGACGTTGCAGTAAGGGAAGGCACAAAGTATTTTGAATTTAATACCTAACCGTGACAGTACCTTATTTCATGTGTCGGGCGCACTCCTAACATATTTCTATCTGAACTACAAAGTGCTCTACAGGAGGTGAGGGATATTGAGGCGTCTCTTGCCATCGAACGAACACTACATAGGCATGGATTGACTCACAAGCATGTATGTAAAATATATTTGCGCAATGGATCAACATTGTCAGATGATCCAAAAACCATTGTTTTCGATGGAGACGAAGAGATGACGATTTTGCTAGAATGCCAAGGTTGCAGAAACTAAGTGGAGCCCATTTGATGATGAGCAAAACTTACCTTTGACAACATTACAGTGTCTTTCACGGCGAGGGCTGGTCACCTGCAGTTGGTAATAACCACGGTGCACCATATGCGGCTGGCCGCAGGTCAGTGCGTGTGTACGATTCCAGGGTCTCGTCACTGCCCCACAGTGCCACACAAGCCCCAAGTTACGTTAAAGAGTAGCTAGCGTGCGCACCTCTGTTTGGTGTCGCTCCAACAACAAACAAAAGCGGTTAAATGAGTTTTCCAGATTCTGGTCTATCGATATGAAAATAGCTGTAAATTCAGATCTGGCAAGTTGCCAACGAAGTTTAACCGAAGTCGGAACAGCATAGGGGGTACTTACTTCCTCTTCAGTGTTAGTCTGTTACACGTGATCCCCACGGGGGCTCTGAACGAATGCCTGGCTATAACATGATCATAATTGTTTCCCCAATGTGAAGCGATTTGTGGCGAGAACTATAACTTACATAATGCACAGTATGTTGAATGTTGAACGGTTCTGAAATGGTGATGGCTCCTGTTGCAATTGGTGGTCTGCACTGGAGCCGATCAAGGATTGCGCATTATTGGTCTTACTTGATTCGCATCAGACTATATTGTCGCCAAAAAACCGACCTTCGTCTCTGGACGTTTGTGTATGTATTTTTCTTCTGCTTTCTGGACGGTTGCAATTTTCTAATTTCTTATTATTATCATGATATGGTGATTAGACCCTGAGCTCGTAACGGAGGTATGTGTAACGTGTTAATTCTTTCTTCTTCCAGGGCCACTGAATCACGCAGTGGCCTTTTCAAACAAATCAGTGGACAATCGTCTTGGAACAGCATAGCATGTTGACAGGGTCCAGCCTAAGCGCACAACATAGGATTCCGATTGTAGCATGACAATAACCCATCCTTCACAGGCGCTGAACAGGGACGACGGGCTCAACTAGTAAATACCTAAGTGTCCTGAAATATGGACCACGTTCCGTATGTAAGAGCGATTCTGTTATGCGTAACCTCTTGGATGAGATCCGGCGGCGCTAAACCCGCAAGGGGCGTTCGAAGCGTGGCCTTTGGCGCTAGCCCAGCAAGGAGCTTGCCTGCGCTAAGTTCTGAGTAAGGGTTGAGACCCTTACTTGCGTAGAGTTGATTGGAGTTTCTCAAGGATATGATCCAAGAGACAGAGTTCAACTCAAGAGAATCGTCTCAAGAGAAGATGGTTCTTTGTACAGAGGGAGTTCTCTTAGGCAAGAGAAGTTCAGACCCAATGACAAGATCAGATGAGAACCGAGTAGATTCAAGTTAGAGAATCTATCTACTGTACAGATGAGATATATATACGTAAGGGTGATATACCGGTGGAACAGTAAGGGTACAGGGTATGGAGACAGTACCGGAGTAACGGTAAGGGTTGAGGGTATGTATGAGTCACATACTGGAAAGGGTAAGTAGTACCGGTTGAATGGTAAGGGCAAAGGGCATGGGGAATCCCCATCAATGAGGGAACCGAGATAGTGGAAAGGGCATAGGGTTCGGTAGAGGCTGGGGCTATCTAGGGGTGGAAGCGAGAGCTTCTCGTGTTTCAGAACGACGGGATCAAAAAGAAAGAGATGAAAATAGAATCGTAACCATGGTCTGGGTCCAGACGAGTCCGAAGAATGAAATGACATGCGTAACGCTCATGTTACTGTAACAAATTCCTGTCTTCCAGAAAATATCATAATAATGTTTCACCAATATCATAAATGGAATCATTCAAGGTTCACAAAGGCAAGTATGAATGCCACGTTACCTTTGATTAAGAATTGATCTGCGATGTCAATTATGGTGCGCAATGCCATCACCCTCCATTCCCATTCAACAGCATGAATGTAATATTTTTATATTGTTGTGGCAGGCGTGGCAGTACTGGCACGCAAGCTCCGCCATGCCCTCGCTGCATAATCTGGCTCCGTGCAGTTTAAGCATCGTTTACGTGGAGAGGTAGTGGGTCATGTAAGACTTTGTATCATATCTGAAATAATTGTTGACTCATCTCAGTGCCTGCCAGATAATGACCGTCCCCCATGATCAGTACACAATTTTGAAGTAATCTGCGGAGAAGCACACGTCCTACACCGTCTTCATTCATCCAGCGCAAATAAATGCGCAGATTTCCGGAACGAGTATGAGACTCTTGAGCGAAATGGAACACAGTTCTTACAAACCAGTGGTGGGAGGTGTCAATTGTACTCTGTAACTGCTACAGTTTTCTCTGCAGCTGCTTGTCATACTCCATTACTAACTGGCATTCCGGTTATCAACGACAAATATAACAAATACTATGATGTCTGAGTCAGTGCCAGCAACTCCATCACGTGGGCGTCGGAGTCCTCAATGACTTTGATTTATGCTCGTACAAGACATCAGTGAACCGGTGAACAAATGAAAATGTTATAGTTAACTTTATATTGATAACAATCACAACAATCAACATAAATCTGGCAGGGGGGGTTAGTTTGGAATGTTTGACCTTGCGAAGGAAAGATGAATTTGCAAGTCAACCAGCCAAGTTGCCCTACCCTCTATGCACCGTTTTATACGTGAACTGGACTATGAAAGAAAGATGTGACACGAGCTAATAAAATGAATTGTGGATCCATGATTGTCGAGACAAGCGCCAAGGTTGCCGCTCACATGAGCTCCATACCTTTGCACAATGCGACAATGAGTAAAATCATGCCTGGCGTGAACGAGTGCAGTCAAAATATGACCCTTGAAATTTGATGACATCTGGCTTCTGAAGTCTGATTCTCGTAGTCATCACATCACTTGGCAGGAGAAGTAACTATGCCAGTTGTTGGTGTATCAAAATACTTCCCAATTGAATAGGTGACTCATAGGGGAAATCCGTGATGTGGATATATCATTCTGATACCCAGGCATTGGCAACTTGTTGAAGAAGCCAAGTTGTGTGACAAAACTCCGAGTATATTGTCTAAATGAAATGCCAGATGTATCTCAGGGACTTTGCCACATTGTCATGAGGAGAAGTGCAATGCGGCACACTAACACTATTACTTAGTTTGTAAAATAACAGCGAGACCGTCCCGATGTGAAGGCCAGTTAAACATCAGCATCTAGCTTAATACTAACAACTGGGCTCCAGACTCTAAACGCTAAGGGATAATTGTTCTACTGGCAAAGCCTCCAGGGACTAACATCAAGACATTTGATTATCGAATTGCCTTTGTAGAGCAAGTCAGCACATTTTGATCAGCCTTGTCAAAGGCAAAGAATGGCAACAATATTTTTCCCACTGTTACGCTGACATACCAAATTCAACAAATGGGTGTCGACATAATGATTCATGGCTTGGACACTGAGGAGCAAGGTCGTGGAGCTTTGAGGAGATGATGAGGTGTGCGTAGTATTTGATTTGGCAGATATGCTGGGTCTTTGCTCAGACAGATGGCATTTTGAACGAGTTGCCAATGACCATCACGAGAACAGGTGGTACCAGATGAGAAATTTTGTTCGCTGATTCAGCTATTCACTGAAATTCATTCCCATATTCCAACGTCGGCTACAGTTCCTTCGCCTCCCTGGCCTGAGGCTCGTGTTTGGGTCTGTCAACCAAACCTATTCAGTTGGAGGCTGGAGTTGACCTCCTCGACTGACGGCATTGCATTTAGAAAAATTTCCGCGATTGATCACTCAGCCATGCAACTTATCATTTGCTGGCACAGCTGTCACTGCAGTCATATGAAGAGCGAACTTCCCTGTTGCTTGGCAGCTTTGGATATTGAAATAGATTTAGTAGCAGTTGGCATATTGAATGGTATGAGATTTGTGGCTGTCAACCAATCACATTTAGTTGGAGACTGCGGGTTACCTCCTCAACCAAGGGTGTTAGTCACTAGGTAGAAATTTTTCGACAGCCAATCATGAAGCCACACAGCATATTTTTGTTGGCACAGTCGGCACTATGGTCGTATATATAAAGAATTTCCTTGTTGCTCGGTGGCATTGGACTTTGCAATAAATTCAGTGGCAATTAGGAAGTTGAACGGTATGAAATGCCACTGAAAATCATTCCTCAAATCGCATTGAATATCAAACAAGAGTGAATGATGTGACATTGTGACATTGACAACTAAACAATTATTGTAGACATAATTTGGATTAGTACGGGCAGTAGATGTAGTGAGTGAGCAGGCAAAGGGAAGGGGAGCAAAGTACAAGAACGGCATGAAAAGGGGGAAAGGATTTAGTCCGAGTCAAACGCAGCATCCTCTAGCGCCTTGCTCTGCTCTGCTAGTGTATTGACGGACATCTGGGACACCACCTCCAGCGTCAGGTCCTCATGATGGTTGGTTCCAAAGATCTTCCTAAACAGCAAGGTTAGCTATCTGATGCTTGGAAAGCAAGAAACGAGCTACCTAGTCCACCATTCGAGAAGCTTCTCCATCCTACGTGTCGCGACAGGGCCAGGGACATCCTCGAAAAAGTCCACGATATTGTTCCAGAATGCTTCATAGTCAAAGTCGCCATCCATGGTGCGCCAAGACGAGACATATGATAGAGTGAAACAAACCTGCCCGCTCAAATGTTAGACACCGGACGTCAAAGCAGTAACTAATAACATTAACTCACTTGACACGCGATGTAAGCAATCGCACGAGACATGACTTTTTGCATGTTGATGATCGAGGTGACGCAGGTTTTAACTTTGGCCTGATCTGATTTCTGCCTGGAACACCGATTGCTCTCAAGGATATCGGGGCTCCATTGCCATCGCCATCAGCTTCCCTCACAGAGGAAGGTGACGTGAAGATGGCTTTGAAAGCCTGGGGTGCAATGAGGATGATGGTATGACGACTGCATTGCCAGTCACTCACCAGAACAAGAATCTTGGACTTCAGGAGCCCTTCCTCAAGGTTGGCAGGGTTGCTTGTGTAGTTTTCATACAAGAAGAGTGGCCAAGAATTTTCTGACACGATGTATTCTGATGTTCTGTCGCAAATGCCAGCCTTGACGCTGAACCAGCATCAGCATCCTGTGATAGTGGAGAAAGGACGACGCTCACCGGGTTTGATCCCAGTCCCACTCAGCAGGGCAGAGTAACTTACCACAGACGTCGCTCACAAAGCCGTGCGAATGCTTGTCGTCAGGCTTGATCAGAGGAAACGGACGAAAATCTTGATTGATCCAGGTGGCGATGAGGTCTTTGAGGCAGGAGGTGTCATCGCCGCGAGCAGCATCAGCTCCTTTCTTGAGCTGTAAAAGAATCAGCATTCAGCATGGTTTTGTTTGCAAATGCCATAGCACACCTTTTTCAACATATTTTCACAATCTTCGTGGTCGAGGTCCCCAAGCTTAGTGTGCAGCCATGGCAGCGCCCGCGAGAATGCAATGTAGCCATGTTGCAAGCGATCTTGCCTGCATTGTAGGATTAAAATATGGCGTAAACGAAAAAACCGATGACCTACGCTGTCGTGCTTGCCTCTGATCGATTCTCGTACCAGTGATCGTTCTCAGCAATCAAGTCTTCCAAGCTTGTGTAAAGCACTACTAAGCGACGAATGGCCCTGCCTTGAGTGACATAGTAGGTTGTCTTTCTTTAGTAAGGATAAATCAATGCCCTAAGGGTGGTGAACAAGTCGGTACACTTACCTCTGCTTCATTCCTCTCTTGCCGCATCAGCTCAAGCTCATCTTCTAAGGCAGCAATGCGACGCTTGGCCCTTGCGTCGGCAGTGGTAGGTATGGCCCCAGAGGGACCTAGCGGTGTGCGTTCGGTGGAATCCACCTCGCCATCAGATGTTGGCTCGGAATGGTTGGTAGAGTTGGCCATGGCGTGGCGGAGTGAGAGGAAGCTAGGGAAAGTGTGAGGTGAAGAGAAAGTGCGAGGCAAGGTGAAAGAGTGAGGTGAGATGAAAGAGTGAGTTAAAGTGGGACAAGAAAAGAGTGCTATAGTGAAAAAGGCCATCACAGGAAGCCCTTTATATGTTCAAAGCTCACTAAGACCAATAGCTTAAATAGGTCATCATCATAAATGGATGTTGACGTATCTGTATATGTGCACCTAGTTTTGGTTAAAACAAAAGGCACACTCGAAATGATTTTTGCGTCTGCCATACTAATTGAGCGCTCGGCCGACCAGTTATTTTTGGGACCAAATCTCAGCAAGGACTTTTTTCGTAGTCGCACAAAGAGGAAATCAATGAGTGGTGACTGACCAAGTACCGGTGTATCTGTTTCTGCATAGATAGGTCGGGTCAGCAGAGGTGCAAGACGATCAATCACGTACCAATGAATAGACTCGAGACATCGTACACCATTTCACCAAAACGGGGATCTGTGACATCACGGTGCTTCACCAGAAGATGCAAGATGGGTTCCAAAAGGACATCGTCTCGACCTGCCAGTGCGCTCTGCAGGCCGTCGCAATGGATCAGTTCTTAAAAGTTGTTGCCAGGGGATATTCTGTGAAGTGAATTAGCCGTCTGACTGCCTAACCTGCCATACCTTTGACCCCCACAGAACGACCGGTACCATCGTTAATAAGTGCAGTATCGAAAGACGAGGTCTAGCGTGTATGCTATTCACTGTGAAACCTGGATCACCGTGTCCTTGAGGACGGTCGGTGGATAACCACTTTATCTTGTGATATACTGTGGATATGGCGTGGAATAGCAGATGGATACCTGCAGCAAGGTTTTCAAGGCGCTGGTGAGTGATAACCTCTGTTGCTTGGCAATGTACCGACTCTCCGAGCAAGCACCTCTCGGAAGTATATTGCACCATAGCCAGAGTCCAATTTTTGAATTGAGACGGCTTTAGTGCTTGAATGTCTTGTCATTTTTGGGTGTGGTTAGAGTGTAGGTCGACGAAGAGCACGATCCCCATAAGACGCTACTTTACATACTGCCTGTGACGAACGATCTTCTTTCGCTCCAGTCATTGCGTCATCTGCATAAATTCATCCTTGTGATTAGTTGCACGATAGGCATCCTTAGCAAGATCGATATCATCAATTGTGGCAAGAGCATCCAAGACAGCATGAAGATCACGCATTTCAAACAGTGTCGTGTTGCTTTCAAGTTCGTCAGTAGGAATATCGCATTTCGGGCACTCCATTGCCTTCACTCCAGTAGCAAGTAATTGCTCAGGATAGTTGCCAACGAAGCAGGCGAACAAAACACTGATGCTCCGGTGCAAATGAGATAATTGGCAAAATTGGGATTGCTGTACAAAGCTTTGATGCATTCAATGGCGTCTCTGCAGAAGACGTTGAATGCCTTGCCAGTGACAATGATCTGTTCCTGTTTGAACTTTAGTCGTCCATGAAGGCTCTTGTCAATTATCTTGTTCAACTCTTTTGAGTTCTTGTACGAAAGGCTGAGGTGTTCACTGACCTATATGGATATGAGTTCTGCTATTAAAAATGTACCTTAGCACTGGCACATACCCCATCAATTTCAAGTAAGTCTGTAAATGCTGTTGAGCTTGGACCCTGTGGCTTCTCTCGTTTACAATGTCCCAGTCGATCTTGGAGGTGAAGGGAGCATAAATACTGGTTGTGGTACCAGAATCAATACCGTATGTGACATTTGCACTACGGGTGGATTGTCCAGTTATTGGTTTGCCTGCGCAGGCATCTGGATATGTACAATAACCATATCATCTTTCTCCATGATGTGTTGCTCAATTTTCTGACTCCGAGTCTTCAGCACCAGAGTCATTGGAGTCGTAGGGTTCTTTATTGCCTTGTATGGGATCATCGATGGGTGGTTCCCATTCATTGTTGTGAAGGCCTTCTTCTTCTTGTTCATCATCACTGGAATCACTCTTATCAACTGGCCACTCTAGATCACCCTCCTCATAAGTATTGAAAAAGTCGCCCTCAAACATGGGTAGTTGATCTTGCCCCACTGCAGGAGGTGGTGATGGTGGACTTCCGGAGTCCTCTGGGAGATACGCGCACGAGAAGCAGCAAGGACGGCCATGCAAGGCACTTGTGTAGTCTTGGCTAAGACTATAGCCAGTTGCTGAAAAAGATCAAAGGCATCCAGGGCAGCTGATCATTGTGTGTTTGAGTGAGTTGTATCTGCTGCTTCAAGTTCTGAGATCTGAGATCCGAGTTGTCACTCTGCTGAGTGTCGAATCTTCTTTTCAGACTCTGCTGATTTGAACAGTCGTTCTAAGCACCGTCTGGTGGTCGCTCACCTGGTATCTAACTACAAAAGATGATGGTCTCTTCACCTCTCCAATTGAACAACCCACCCTTGACCCCTCCTCGATCAAGCAGCCCGCCCTTGTCCCCTCTTCCATTAAGCAGTTCCTCATATTCTCCTTGCTCAAATAAGTCTCCTTTTGGTTCTAGCCTGAGATCAGGCTCCTCTCCCAATACCATGAACACTGATCTATGTGCCTCGCCGGTCATGATATCAGTCTCACCATATGCAACACCTCACGCTCCTGATGCTATTGAGAGCCCATTTTCCAAGCCTGGCATATCACCCCCAACAGCAAGTGTTGCTCAGCGACAGTTCATGCACCACAGAACAACCAGGAAGAATTTTCCGTACCCTCCTCGCCGCAGCATCTTTCCAGCATCAGTGGAGGTTGATTATTCAGCGCACGTCATGGGTCGAGGATACCAGCCAGAATTCTCATTGGAAGCAACCCAGAAGGTATGATATGTTTCAATTCCAAATACTCATAATATTAATGTTGTTACACAGAGTGAGGAACAGTTGGAAAGAGGCCTCTCGCAAATGAGTTCTCCAACTGTATACAAGGGATACAGAGCAAGGCTTGCAGCTCGTGAGGCTGCGTGCCAGCGCCTGCTATTAACAGCGTGGGAAATTGAAGAGGCTGAGCGTTTCGCAACATTCATCAAAGCCATCCATACTGAAAATGAAAGATGGTTCGGAATGGTGGAAGAAGAACTGCAGGACTTCAGGAGAATGTTTTCTCAGCATGGCCAAGAAGAAGTCGCAGGTAACAAAAGTTATCTTCAAGCTGTCTATGAGGACAAATGCGAGGTCCTTCGCATCATTAGTGTCCAGGCTGATCAGGTCGGGCAGCTCTTGGGCAAACATGTCAAGGAGAATTTCTTGCAATCTACTGGGAAATCCTTCCGGCAGCCTGGTGCTGGAATTTTCTGTGCTGGCAATGGGGTTCACCTCGAGGAGTCAGATGAGACCTCTGAAGGATCAGACGACTTGGGTTCTTGCCGTGATGGGAATCTGGATGACTCGGATGTTGCCACCGAAGAGTTAGATGACTAACTATGAACACCTAAATCGCCCTCCTGATGCAGTACGTGAAACCCTCATTTTGAGTATTACAACTGATCGATTCATAACAATAAGATATGATTATTTTTCAGCACTTGTACTCCTTCTTGTTGTCATACATGACATCCTCATGTCAGATATGATCTCGTGCTGATCGATTAACTACAGTATTTTTCGTGCCAAATATTGCCACAATTTCACAATGTTTTACATGCTTCCCCTTGTAGTGATTTGTCAATTTTTGTTGGTATGCCTTATTTATCGTGCTAGAAACCTTGAAATGTATCGCTTTGTATCTGCCAGTGTGCATGACTACAACCTATGAGAGGCTCCCTCGTTGTAAGTGCTATGTACTTGAGTCCCAACAATATTTTGAAGGGCTCCCTGGTTCTTCAAGCCAATGCCGCAGCCTAGGATCAATGGTCGTTATTGGGGTGACGGAGGTCATGTTGGTATCTGTCGCCGGTCCTTAGAGCTACATAACGAACGGATAAAGACCCTTGAGCTGTACGTCAATCTCTCGCGTCAAGTATTACTAATTCATAAGAAGCAGATGTTGTCAAGCGCTCGCTGCCCTTTTATGTAGTGGTAAGTGAAAGGCAATGTGTCAGATATATGTTCCGCTCCAATCCATCGATTGTATTGGATCGACATTGGATCTTGGCGAGTATTATTTACCATGATCAATACAGTTAACATTTACACCCCCCCTAGTAATTTGTCACTGCACATGCCCTGCGGCAGGCATTGTTTGTCATTCTTGATTCATACTACTAACTTAGAGCTCCACTTTCCCGCCGCCACCAGTTCTTCTCCCTCTCCCACCGGTACCATTTGCGTCCCAGCACAACGCAACAGCAACATGCACCCCAGCGGCAACATACAGCTACCTCATGAGGACTCAAACCAAACCAATCTGTCTTACCATCCATCATACGGATCTGTTTCAGATCAAGCCAACTACTTGCATTCATTCTTCGGAGTGACCATGGCCTCAGATTTTGATGATCATCACAGCGAGTCCCTCAGCTCCCAGTAGACAAATCACTCACTAACATTTGAAACAGATATGTGCGATCAACAGATCGTCACATACTCACATCATGCATTAGGTAGAGTAGAATTCTGGTCGACTAGACCCCTGAGTTGCTAACTAAAATGAATGTCATAGATCCTTGCACCAGTAGTACTAGCGGAAGCGGACCATCGACTGTTGGCGCCAACAATAACACCCCCAACCCCCCTCAATCAGTGTATCCAAGCGCACTATACTACACCAGTGCTAGCGGAAGCGGACTGTCGATCATTGGCACCGATGATAATGCCTACAACCCTCCTCAATCGGCTCATTCCAGCGCACTCTACAGGTGATCTCCTGAGCTGTTGTCTTTTGAACGAAATCTTTACCTTGGTACCAGCAGATCATCTATCATTAGCGCCAACAATAACACCCCCCAGCCTCACCATCCAGCAGCATCCTACAGGTTACCAGATCCCCAGTCGCTGGTGGGATCTTCTCGAAATCAGCGTCCTCAGCCGCTTGAAACTAGACAAGATGGAGCTAGTATTGCGCCCATGACTATGGCGCCCGTTGCATCCGTTCTTGCCCCCATTACGCCCATTATCACGCCAATTATACCCATTCTTGCCCCCATTGCGCCCGCTCTTGCCCTGCAGCCCATGGCTACGTGTGTGGTTGCCCCTGCCATCAAAGTCAGCCCAGAGCACCAGATACTAATTGCAAGTCGTGTGAAACGGAGAATCCTGAGATTCTTTTTTATGGAATTTGCGATGGCGGCTACTGAGCAGGAGAAGAAACACATAGTGTCACTTGCAATTGCAGAGTTGATCCCATCCTTTTTCGGCATCAACGGTACATTTATTTTGCAGGTCGCCAAGTCAAACGCTAACTTACTATTAATTTCTTAGTTGGGGTACGAACCCCTGTGACAAATAATCACCGTCAGCAGATAACAATGTCGTGGACAAACATCTTCAAGAAACTAATGGACCTTGTAAGGAACAATCTTACCAATGGCTATGAGATCTGCCCCTCGCTAGACTCTAACTCACAAATCCCGCTGGAGGATTTCCGTCGTCGAGTAGCATCCGCATTGGTCAATGACGATCATAACTTGTTAGCGTTTATGCATAAGCATACTGTAAACGCGGTATGTTTTGAATGTTTTGACTTTTCGAAATTGAATGTTAATCCTTTTTTAGGATGGTGTTGTAACTATGTTACAGGAAGGTATACTGGCTCACCCCTTCATACTGCATACCATGATTCGTTTCATATGGAACACCGAGCTTGGGCTTTCTGAGTTCCTGAACAACCCACAGCTTCAAACCAACCCGTTAGAACTAATCGATTTTGCTATTGCCACTGTGGGGGCAGCTACAAAGCATGCACTGCTTGAGCAAATACCTCATCCACCTGTCATGCTTCCATTCGAACCGCTCAAGGGGAAGAAAACCTTTGATACTATTATAGACTACATCCATGATTTTGATCACGCACAAATTATCATCTTTGGCAGACGCAAGACTCACCTCATAAAAATTGGGGTGTCGCAGCAGTTAGCTACAGCTGTGTTAGGACATCTTTAGCACTATCATAGACATGTACTAGTTCAGGTATCCGTATTATTGTATCTCGTTGCTCGAGCAGTGTTTTGTACTTCGTTACTGGCAGGAAGACTCGTGCCTCGCAGGTAACGTCGTCTGATAAGTCTTTTCTCAAGCGCTACACACATTGGGGTTATCAATATTTAAGAACCCGACTTTGGTTCGGACGCATCCCCGAACCGACAATTATATTTATGACGTAAATAATGTAATTAGAGCTAAGTGTCTTCAAAAAGTTGTTTGGCAACAGCCTTGAATCCAAACAACGCAAAGTTTTAACCTCACCATCTCAGCTCGCCATCCTTACGCTTGTGTCTTACAAACAGATAGCGTGGTGAAATAAAGGCTACCACACGACACATCTCCCAGTCGATATTCACAAAGAGGTCAGGGTCATTTACTAGCCAGCCAAACGATGCTACCGTGACAGAAACCCGGGCCGATGTGTCTATCGAAGATGATCCACACCTCGTTGTCCTGGAGCCGGACGACAATCTGTAAAACATGTCCTCGTTCAGATAGTGGCTTGCGGTCCTTGTCATCAGCTTGGCTTCTCTATGCATGACTTGTGCTTCTTCGATCGTGAGCCATTTCGCCTGTCATTTTTGTCGAGACTAATCATGCTCCAGGCTGCATTCACAGAACAGGGTGCCACCCAAACGTTTCGCGTTTCACATGAAGTGACCGTCCTTGGAATAAGTTTATTTGTCTCGGGTCTTGGAACTGGTCCACTGCTCATTGGTCCATTGTCCGAAGTATATGGTGTGTCCAAGATCTTGCATTCAATAGCATACCTTTCAACGAGTTGGGAAGGCCGAAACATTGTATACAGAATATCTTACGCACTATTCTTCATCTTTACATTTCCCGTGGTGTTTGCTCCTAACATTGGTGAGTACTTGCCCCCGGAAGGGACGGTCGATCTGAAACAGGACGATAGCTGTTTTCCTGATCTTTCGCCTTATCACTGGGTTCTGTGGATCAGCCTTTTTGAGTGTAGCTGGAGGTAGTGTGAGCGATATGTTTCCAAATTCGAGTATCACAAAGTAAGCCCTTGGGCTTGCATTCTGATAATCTGCTGAATTATTTGCCCAGTCCAATGGCTGTATATACCATGTAAGTATGCGTACTTGAACAAAGCTGCTAAGCAGCTAAACTGTATTTTAATCGACCAATCATTTTGACAGATCTCCATTTATTGGACCAGTGGCTGGCCCCTTGATTGCTGGGTGCGTACTTCTTGCCCCTTGGGAGCATTGTGTCCAACATGACACAATGTCATAGATTCATAAATCAGGTCATAGTCATTGGCAAGTTGATCCTTGATCCTTGATTGACATCTTTCTGACAGCACCTATACTGGGAATGGACATATCACGTGCAGCTGTGTTGGATCTTTGCTGAGTTTCTGATGTTGGCAATAGTGCGTTGTATTTCTGGTGAGGTGGATTTACTTATGAATTATCTTTCTGTCATGTTCGCGTGATAGATGAATCTACTCGACAGACTGCAAAAGTCGACTGCAGATCCAAAGTTTTATGCTCCTCTGAATAGATGGGAAGGCACTCTTGCTTCTGCTATCCTTGTTAGTTGCTACAGGCCTTTTCATAAGTCACTGGGGATCACTTTCTCCTCCTCGCAAGTAATGATGTGCCACCTTCCCTAGAATTACTTCTATTCGACCGAATGGCACTCCTGGTAAGGGCAAGGCAACTCATTGACACTCGGCATAAGTCCTGATCATTCCAGGAATGCCCTTCTTGGAATCCTACACCTGGCATTCCAGGCATACCTAGTGATGTGTCGGGCCCGGCCTGAGGCCCTTGGGGCTGAGCCCTCGTAGGCCAGGCCAAAGCCAGGCCCCAGGTGAGGGCCTTATAGGGGCCTGGCCTGTGAGTTGGACAGGCCTGGACTTCCCAGTTTGGAAACACTGGTGGCACATTCCATCATGGCAGTCAAACTATAGGTGTGGGCCATTAGGTCCTAACCGGAGTTTGAAACCTAACCTAACGTGGGCTGGGACGGACCACTCAGCGCAAAGCATTCGCCTTCAACATCCAGTTCCTCTTATGAGCGTCTCATCATACTTCTTTCCCAGGACGTCACGCGGATCGTATTCGCATGAAGCCAACAGCACCACCCATCAAACGAGGGCGTGGAAGACCAAGAGGAAGCAAGAATCAACCAGGTGCAGGACATGTTGGCAGGCCACGCAATGATGGACAGCCCCCTCGAAAACAGCATAAAGGACACGACGATGCGGAGAGTACTACTCCAGGTAAGAATCTTTTCATATTGTTCCTCGAGCATCTTGACTAATGAAGAAAATCAGCGCCAAACACCTCGCATAGCGCCACGCAAACACCGCGCAATGGCGAGGTTCAACATTGTGGCAAAGGTGAGTCATAAAATCTCTAAACTAATGATGACCTCTCATGCATGCCACCCTGCTTCTCAGAATCCACTCCAACGCCACGCAGAGCCCTCGCAATTGATGTGGATTTGGACTTGGAGGTGTTCGAAAACCTTGATCCTCCTGCGAGGGTTCGCACCATCCCTCCCACACTTCCAATTGTGCCTTGTTCTGCAGCCTGCAGCGAGGTGCCTTTGAAGCAGACAACCCTTGCATTTTGAACGGCCGTGCAGGGTGCCAACCCAGGTGAGTATCTAGTGTCTACTAGCCGTTGTCTCCGGTGCTCTACTATCATGCTAATATCTGCCTCCCAAAGTGTTGGAGGCACCTACTGCCTCAACTGTTGTGCGAACGCCGCACATTTCGCCCCTCAGTACTGATGCCCAAGAACAGCAATCTGAGCCTGCTGCTAGCATTTCGCCTCAAACCTCAACCCACCAGCCACGGGACTTCTCTGAGTCTGGACCGGCCGCTACTATATGCGAGGCTGATCCACCTGCAGAGTCGGCAGCTACGAGCAGCGGGATGACTCAGCAGCAGCCATGGAGGCACAATGCAAATGCACCTGCACTGCCACCATCACCAACAGTTGAGCTGCAGAGTGTGACGGGTCTTATTGATGGTACATCTTTGCCGTAGCTGCTTCTGTGGTGTCCATGCTCACACATTATTTGAACTTCAGTTCCTGAGAACCCATATGGCTCTGATCTCAAAGCGCCTGCCCCTCGTGACGACACTGAAAGTGATCAGGATGAGGAAGCATCCCTGGAAGATGAGTTTCACCCTGTTTCTGATGACGGAGGGGAGGATGAAGACACGGAGCATGGATGGGGGGCCTTGACGTCTGGATCTGTAGGCAGATCTTCATCAAGGTCAACAATGCCACTTTGGCTTAGCAAGTCCTATAAAGTTGTAGAGACAATGTTGAAAAAAGAAATCAAGCAGAGTACCCGAACACCAGCCATGCCCAAGTGCTATGAGCAGCAGCAACTCTGGGTTGGGGATGCTTCACCCTTTCTGATGTTGCTGATGCAACCCAACATTGCCGTCAAGCCCTCAATATTCCATCGACCAGCCTTCTTTGTTTGGCTCCCACACTGTTTGCTGGGTGACCGCATTCCCTGCCCTCAATGCAAAGCAAACAACAAGCTGACGAACCAAGGAAAGCCAGTTTTTCTTCAGCAGCTTGGATGGATTGGAAAGCCTCAACGTGTGGTTGATGTAGCTCAGAATGTCTACATCATTGGGTACCGCTATAACTGTGTCCACCCTGGATGCCGCAAAACATATCAAAGCTGGAGCTCCGCAATTCTCAATGTTCTTCCTGCACCAGTGGCCATGCAATTCCCCTTCCAATTGACTTACCGCAGTGGGCTCTCAAATAGCCTCGTTTCGCTTTTGCACTCCTCGATCAGGGCAGGGATAGGACCAATGCCATCCATGCAGATGTTGCAGTCATTCCACTACGAACACTTCAACAATCTTCACCTTCAATACCTGGAGCTTGTGCATGACTGCTACAAAAGTTGTCCGAAACAGTTTTGGGTCCGCAAGCAAGCATTTGGCTCGTTCAGTGACCGAAATGGCTATGCTGGATTTGTACCAAGTGCAGGGTACCTCCGTCACTTTTATGACATGATTATCGAATGGCGATCGACAGAGATGAAACAGTGTATTGCCATGCTCCCGGTGAGAGTGCTCGCAATTGACCATAGCTTTAAGGTGCCTAGTTTTATCATACAGTATCTGCCCTGTCTCTGACATGTATTGAGTGAGCAGATTATCAAATGGCTCGGTAGGGTGGGCAGTGCTCCCCTATTCACTGCACTTCATACTGTGGTGAACAAGTACTCCGAGATTCGGTCCATGCTCTTCACAATGATGAAGGGACATGATCAATACATGCCCAATCTGTGCGAAATCAGCGAGTCACTGGTGAAGTTTGGACATCCAGAGGTCCAGGCCGTTTTCACCAATAACGTCCATGCAGACAAAAACAAACTTGAGCGAGTGTTCCCGTCCCTCTTGAAAGATGTTGTCCCCGTCCTCCCACATAGTTCCCTTCCCCTGCTTGAATTTCCTCGTGGATCATGGACCATCGTCGAGCTGAGCAACACCCATCAAGTCAATCACCGCTTTGATGTCATCATGAACCACCGAACGACGACAAATCCAAACGTTATGGTTGCATTCGACATGGAATGACCGGTCAATTTGGAGACCGGAATCCACGGTCCAGTTGCCTTGATTCAAGTGGCATATCAAAATACCGTCTATCTAATTAAGGTCAGTGGCAATTTTTCCTATGATGTTGCTGGTTCCTTACATGTTTGCACACATGCACATCCAGACTGCTCCGTTTCTCGAAAATGGTGTCATCAAGCTCCCACACTCCCTCCTTGTGTGGTTGTGTTTGCCACTGTTCAAGAAAGTTGGTGTTTCAGTCAGAGCTGACTTCAAGGAGCTGCAGAATGACTGCGGGATGCATCATGGTGCAGCATCAGATGAACTGTTTGCAGGACACGTGGAGCTGGGAGCAATGGCTAAGGAGCGTGGTGCTACCGTGAAGAGGACTGTGGGGCTTGCCAAACTCGTCGGAATACTTCTCGGCAGGCACCTACCAAAGGACCCCCAAGTCCGTGTTAGCCCTCGGTGGGCTGATGCAGTGCTCCCCCAGGAGTACATCAACTATGCTGTGCTCAATGTCTACGCTGTCTCCCAGGTGCATTTACAGCTCACGGGGATGGACATTGCTCAGCCTGTTGTGGCCACCACCCCTAGTGGGACTGCAATTGCACTCTTGGCACCTGACGGACAGGAGGTGGCTCACAGAATTGTGGCCCTCAAACGTCCTCCTGCCCTTGATGGTGTTGTTGTGTCACCAAAACGAGTCGTGATGACAGTTTCTAAAGTGCTTGTGCCATCTTTCCTGCTTCCTGCTCGCCTACAGAAAGCAAAGCAGGCAAAATCACTCGCGTCATTCAGCAGTACTCAATTTTCTATTGTTGCCAATATCTGAAACCTTTGCATCTGCCCCTCAACTCACGATGAAGGCTCTGACGGTCCATCATCTGGTTCATGCACGGAAACCCTTGGCGACCACCAGGATCCCGAGTCTGGAGTCTTGGATGCAGGATATATTGATAGCAGCAGCCCTCTGACGAGCACTCTTGTCCTGAATGAGGATGAGTGTGATGGTGATTCAGAGACCAGCCCTGAACAGACTATCAAGGGCTCCTTGCGAGATCCAGCTGCGGAAGCTGCACTTGTGGGGGTCATGGAGCCCTACGTGAATGTTGCAGCGAGGAACGACTCTATCGTTCGTTCACGTGTTCTATACGACAATTTTCATTGCTACAATCAATTCCCGATCACTCGCCACCATGGGCTCAGATGGCCGTTTGCACGAGCACTCAGTGCAGCATTTTTCATACCGGTCGCGGAGGACAAGGCTGCCATGGAAGCAGTACTGAAGGACTTCGGGATGGCATACAATGCTCAGCTTTTGTCAAAACCTGAGTGGGTGCTGTCACGTGTCTGGCGTCACGTACCTCCACCTGAAATTCTCCTGCCCCGTGTTGCCGACGTCATCAGAACCTACGGTCCAATCAAGGATGCAACAACAGGACAACCACTTTTCAATGACCGTGCTTGGGAAATCGCAAAACACATCATGGAAAATGTCCAGCTTGGATACTACTCGGACACTGCAGACATTGACCTTTACTTTGAGATCGGGAAAGATCGGCATGGCCTGATGTTGTATCGCTGTTGCCATGGCACCAACAGTGTCAAAGGTGGTGTTCACCATAATCTCATATGGTGCTACACATCATTTAATACATTGCCTCGTCATGCTATTAATGTGCTGCTCGACTACGCTGTTTGTCACAATATGACAGTCTGTCATTCGTTCATTTAATTCAAAATGCACTCTCACCTGTACAGTTGCAGGTTGGCAACATGAACCGCACTGGCAAAGCATACGTCGGACACTTTAATGTCCTGCTAAAGAATCACATTTCTCGACTGCTGACCTTAAAAATGGATGCACTAGTTCCTGAAAGCAGTGACTTTCAGTGTGGTTGGGTGAACGGCAATGACTACGAGCTCACACACGAGACTTTCTGTTATGCTGAAGTATAACGCAGGCAAACAATCACTAATAAGACCAAAGGTCTGTCGATACGTTCAAGACAACAGTCTTAAGAATGCCCAAAGTCAAGTCAAGGCTAAGTACCGAAGAGGTAACTTAGAATCAAGTCAGATGTTCAAAGGAAAACCAGTGTAGGTTAAGCTGAAGAATCAGCGTCACCTAGCTAGGGTTTATATAGTATGCTGGGTACAGGGTGTGACGTAATAATAGGTATGTATCAGTAAGCATATGCGTAAGCAATGAGGCGTCTGAGTAATACCGAACTAAATATAGCATGATAAGAGACATGCATAGTAAGCATGGATCAAGGGAAAAAGAAGCAAGATAAGCACAGCTGTAACATCACCCCCTTCTTACGTGGAAAGTCCCAGACTTTCACTCTAGACCATGACGCCTATCGTCCTCGGTTCCTCCTAGCCCATCTAGGGCCTCAAAGAAACCTCTTTCCTCCATAAGGATCAACGTCAATTGTTGAAGCTTCTCTTTGATGTCTCGAATGCTATAGTCAAGGGAGAAGAGTTCTTCTTCTCTGTACTCGGCGTTATGCCTTTCCAAGGTATTTTTGAGACGATCTCCAAGACGGTAGAGGTCATAGAGGGCGTTGAGCGCAGGCTCAGTATCAATGGCGTCTTTGATGGGGTTCTTGAAAAGTTTGGACGACAACATAATCCTACAGCGAAGTCTACGATCTTCAAGATTGGACAAGTAGGGGTCAGTCGCTACTTTCCAAGGAGCTGCTCATCGACGAGCTGCAACACGCTCACGAGTTCTGATCGTAGTGGGGCTGGCGGGAGTGTCGATGAAAGTGGGAATAACAGGTTCATTAAATATTTGGTATGGGGACGACACTCTAGAATCAGGTGTGGGAGACGTCGGGTGAGGGGGTTCTGGGGAATTTCTTTGACTAATAGTCATATAGTGGGGTCACGGAGAGAAGACAGGGAATCTGAAGTTAGGAATGGGGACGTTCGGGGCGCTGTTGTGCGTGATAACGAGGTTTATATCCTCGTCATTGGAGGAGATGTAGTTACGTCCACCGGTAGAGGGCATGGTTTGAATAGTTTAGTGATAATGGTTTGAGTTGAGAGGGGAATGAGTCGATGTGCCTGCTTATATCTATTCAAGATTTCAGCGGAGTTGGCTAAATCAGACTCCGACAACCATTTGTTATCGGCTGATGGGTAACCTTTCCATTTGACAAGGAAGCGTCGCCATGAGAGAGTTCCTTTATGTCCGAGGATGGCTTCTACCTCGTGTTCTTCTTCTCCATCGATTAGGTCAGGAGGTGGTGATGGGAAGTTAGGACCGTCTTCTTCATTTTCACGATAAGGTGTAAGAAGTGCTGCATGGAATACCGGGTGAACATGCCATTGGTTCGTGAGTTTTAGGCGGTATGTGACTGGTCCGAGAACTTCTGAGATAGTGAAAGGTCCTTCTCTTTTGGGTGCTAATTTCCTATTGGGGTAATTGAGATGCAGGTTCTTTGCTTCTAGCCAAACCTTGTTGCCTTTCTTAAAGGGTGTGAACGATCGAGTGATTCTTTGCCTCATGGTTTGTCTAGCGAGTTCATGTGATGATAAGGCTTCTTCTCGAGCCTTCTGGAGTTCTGATATTCTCGCTTCAACGGCTGGGAGATCCGATTTCTTGGTAGCCAATGGCAATGCTTGAGGGTGATATCCCATCATGAGATAGAAGGGAGAAGTGTTACGTGCGGAGTGATGTTGGGAGTTGTGTACGAATTCTGCCATGGGAAGTTTTTCTGACCACAAGGTCTGATCATTTGCGCAGAATATGCAGAGATACACTTCCAATTCTTGATTTACTCGTTCTGTTTCTCCATCAGTTTGAGGATGGAAGGCTGTGGAGAGTGCGATTTTGTATCCGAGAAGTCTTCCTAGTTCTTGCGCGAACTTAGCTGCAAATTGAGGTCCTCTGTCAGAGATGATTTTATCATAGAGTCCGAAATGTGTGTAGATGCGGTTGAAGAATACGTCGGCGACTCCTTCTGCATCGATTGTCTTGTTGCAAGGCGTGAGTACCACCCCCTTCATAAGCCCATGGTCTACCACGACCATGATAGAGTCAAAGCCATTGGATGGGGGAAGGTCTACGATGAGGTCGACTGAGCATTGAGCAAAGGGGCAGGATGAAGTGGGGGCGGGAATAGGGCAAAGAGGCGGTGCCGTCAGGTGAGTGTTGACCTTGTTTTGTTGACAAATGGCACAACCTTCGACATATTTGCGAATGAAGGTAGGAAGGCCGTGCCACCAATAGTCACGAGAGATGATTTCCTGGGTTTTAAAGCGACCAGGATGACCGGCAGTGGGAGAGTCGTGATGGAGGGAAATCAATTCCTTGCGTAAAGGACCAGGGGGAACATAATTGCGACCTTTGAAAGTGAGAATAGCATCAGAAAAGGTCCAATTAGACAGTGCTGATTTTATAGGGAGGGGTAGGATGGGATTTGAAAGTGCATCGATGGTCTGTTGAACCACGGGGTCGACTGAAGATGAGATACGAAGTTTCTCCTGCATGGTGGTGTCAATGAGGTTAATGAATAGCCCGTCAGGCAGGACTGTGACATTGGAGTTATCCGTAGCGTCAGTGGGAATGTGATCAGGTCGGCGAGAGAGAGAGTCTGGAATGGAAAGATCTTTGCCTGGTACATGTTGGAGTTGTAAATCAAACTGGGAAAGGAAAAGGAGCCAACGGGCTTGTCGACGATTTAATTGTTGGGCTTGGCGGAAATAGGTCAAGTTCTTATGGTCAGTCATGACAAGAACTGGGAAAGGGGAACCTTCTAGGTAGTGGCGCCAAGCTTCCAAGGCTCGGATGATGGCCAACAATTCTCGGTCGAAGATCTGGTAATTCCGTTCTGCTGGAGAAAAGGTTTGAGAGAGGTAGGAACAGGGGTGCCAGTCACCGTTGGAGTCCTTTTGAAGGAGTACTCCCCCGGTAGCATAAAGAGATGCATCAACTGCAATGGCAAAAGGGGAATCCTTGTCAGGGATGGAAAGTACAGGGGTGGAGAGGAATCGGTTTTTCAGGTCGGTGAACGCTTTATCACAAGCTGGCGACCAATCAAAGATGGAATCTTTCTTTGTGAGATCAATAAGTGGTCGTGCAATGGTTGAATAATCGGCAATGAAATGATGGTAGAAGTTGGTGAATCCCAGGAATGATCGAACATGCTTGACAGTTGTAGGTTGTTCCCATTTGACCACTCCGTCTAGTTTGACTTTATCCATGCAAATCTGTCCAGGGCGGATGAGGAGACCTAGGTATTTGACTTCAGTGGTGTCGAAGACACATTTTTCAGGTTTTAGGGAGAGCTGGTGATCGCGAAGTCGTTGCAATACTCGCATTGTTTGCTGATGATGGGATTCAAGGTCTTTGGAGAAGATTAAGATATCGTCCATATAAATAACCATCCAACCTTCGTCTATCATGTCTGAGAAGATGTCGTTCATCATTGCTTGAAATGTTGCAGGAGCGTTACATAGACCGAAGAACATGACCATAGGTTTGAAGAGTCCTCTCGATGTTTTGAATGCGGCTTTCCATCTGTCAGGACCGTGAATTCTGACGTTGTTGTATCCTGCGTGAACGTCCATCTTTGTGAAGATTGTCGCGCCTTTCAACTTGTCGATGAGGTCGAGAATGCAGGGGAGAGGATAGGCATCCTTTACAGTTGCGTCGTTAAGTCTTCTATAGTCTTGACATGGTCGGAGGGATCCATCTTTCTTTCCTACAAAGAAGAAGGGAGATGCTTGAGGAGACTGCGACGGCACAATGGTTCCTTTTGCCAAATGTTCGTCTACAAATTCGTTCATTGCTTTCTCTTCTGGTGCAGATAAGGGGTAGATTTTGCAAGAGTGTGGTTTGAAGTCGAGTTTCAGTTTTATTTTATGATCAAAGGGTTGAGATGGTGGCAGTGTATCCATGGCTGCTTTGTCGAAGACGTCCTTGTACATATGGAATACTTCAGGTACAAGTTCTTCAAACATCTTTGGCTTTTCCTTAGCATATGCTTCTTGTGCTAACTGTTGAGTGACATTGGCAGCCTTTCTTACTGGGAGAGGGGAGAACATGAATCGAGCGGAATTGGGGATTTTAGAGATTCTGTTTGTTTGGGATATGAAAGAGAAGGTAGTGGGAATGTGTTCTTGGGTGAGTGGCAAGTCAAAGTTGATTTTCTCGTATACTCCCACGAATTCTTCTCCTTTGACGTAAGCGATAAGAACTTCGTCATCTTGTAGTTCTTCTATTATTTCTTCTTCTTCTTCTTCTTCTTCTTCTTCTTCTTCTTCTTCTTCTTCGGGTAGCAGTTCTGGTTGTTCCTCGGAAATTTCTTCTGAGGATGTGTATGCTTCTTCGTCTTCTATCTCTTCTATTCTTGGTTGCATAGAAGCGTGTTTGTTTCTGTCAGGGATAAGAGTCTGAATCATGATTGGGTCTTCTTCTAGTGAGATTTCGCTTTTAGCCCAATCTATAGTAGGATTTTCATTTTTGAGCCAAGGAAGTCCGAGGATGATGTCTTCGCCTCCTAAGGAGGTAATAAGGAAGGTGGCGAACATGGTTCGGCCTCCTGCCGAGAAGAATAAATTGCAGGCTTTGTTAATAGTTCCTGCCTTGTTCTTCGTTCCATCCACGTTCCGGACTTCTATTTGTGAAGAGAGATTGTGAGTTGAGAAGTTGTTCTTTCGTACATATTTCCAGTCAATGAATGTTCCAGCGGCGCCTGAGTCAATTAGGGCAGCTGCTTCGGCGGTTTTATCGGACTTGCAGGATTCAATCGAAATAGGAATGCGCATAGAATTCGAATCGCCCACAGAAGATACAATGAGTCCGATAGATGTACTAGGGGTTTCCGACGCCGGTCCGGTCTCCCCATTTAGAAATCCTTCTTAGAAGAAGAAGGTACTTTCGACGCTTTCCAAGCTTTCCAAGCGAGGAATTCCTGATACTCTGCGTCTTGATCATCTTGTTCAATCTTAGTTTCACGGACTGGTTGTCCGGCCAGTTTCTGCCAACCGGGGGCGGAATCTCTGTGGTTAGGGCAATCCTTCATAAGCCCTTTCTTTCCACACTTGAAGCGGAGTCCCAATTTGCGACGTCTGTCTTGTTCAGACCGAGAAAGTCGAGCGTTGCGAACTGGAGTCGCTTCTTCATTGTCAATATCGACCTTGTCTATGTCCATTGCGTACGGGTCGTTCTTCTTTGAGAAGCTTCCTCCGGAGTTTATGAGCTGCCTCCTGGATTCGTATTCTCTTGCAGCTTCGATCCATTCTTTGATATCCGCGGGCATCTTCTCTCTAATGAGGATTGCTTCTTGGACTTCTTTCTTGAGTCCTTGTCTGAAACACGTTGTTTCGACGTCTGAATCTACACATTCGGCTTCTGCCGAGATTCGTTTGAAATAGGCAATGTATGCCGAGATAGTGGAGGTTTGCTTCGCTTTCATCAACATGTTGATGGCAGTAAGTGTGTCGTTCTTTGGGAAGAACACTGCTTTGAATTCCTTAATGAATTCGTCCCATTTCCCCATAGGGGTCGCGGTGTCATGTTTCTTATTAATCCATCCCGTGGCCCATTGTTGAGCGTGTCCTTTAGTCATGAACGACGTTGCGAATGCAATGCATTTTTCGTGGTTGTCATAGACATCTTTGTTCACGGTTATGTATGTGGAGACGGCTGTCCACCAGGCTTTAGCCTGTTTCTGCGAACCATCAAAGCTAGGTGGTCTGTTCAGATTGATTTCACCCATTTTCTTAGGTGGTGGTCTAGGTGTGAGTGGTGGTGGTGGTGTTGGGAATCTGGGCGGTGGTGGCGGTGGTGGTTCAGATGGTCCTGGTTGATCAGGTCCGTATCCTTCAAAGTATTCATTCTTGTCTTGTTCAATAGGAGAACCTGATTCTGAGAAGTGTTCTTCTTGTTCTTGTTACAGGGACCTTCAGACCCCTATCGTCTCCGCCAAACATTGCCGTCACAACCACGTCACAACACGTGACAGATGACATCACTGGCACATGACTAAACTGCAGAGCACAGCATGACAGCTGTTGGAGCAAGACAGCTCTGGAACCGACCTAGACCGGGATCAATAGAAGCTGCGCGCTTCTCCCTTATCACCCCTACTGATACACCAGTACTGACTATTGTTTATCCTATCGCTTATCATGACAGATAGTGTTATCTGACTTGGACACCTACCGCTGTGCCGGTACCATACCCTGGACCCTTACCGTTGAACCAGTACTCTTATCTCTGAGTCCTTATGACTCACATAGACGCTTACCTAGTTGGGACACTTTCTGGCTACCCAAGCCTACCCTGAACTCATAGGACGATACCTATATATATCACTGTAGTTAGACCATGTATTCTCTAACTTGATCTTCACTTGTGATATACGACTCTAGCTTCTTCTTTGAACCTTTAGTCAGTCATTCTGGATGGACAGCCTCCATTCAGTCTTCCATCGTCCTGATACTCCATGAAGCGGACACGGGATCGACCCTATCAAGTGCACTGTTGGGAAGCCGGGCTTTCCCGTAACAGTTCTGACTCCGAGGAGTACTGTCGTTGTTCTCTATAAGCCACGATGTATCGTGATGACTACTAGGGTAGCGTCGTCTTGTGATAGAGCTTAACCTTTTGTTACGCCGAAGTATAATGCAGGCAAACAATCACTAATAAGACCAAAGGTCTGTCGATACGTTCAAGACAACAGTCTTAAGAATGCCCAAAGTCAAGTCAAGGCTAAGTACCGAAGAGGTAACTTAGAATCAAGTCAGATGTTCAAAGGAAAACCAGTGTAGGTTAAGCTGAAGAATCAGCGTCACCTAGCTAGGGTTTATATAGTATGCTGGGTACAGGGTGTGACGTAATAATAGGTATGTATCAGTAAGCATATGCGTAAGCAATGAGGCGTCTGAGTAATACCGAACTAAATATAGCATGATAAGAGACATGCATAGTAAGCATGGATCAAGGGAAAAAGAAGCAAGATAAGCACAGCCGTAACACTTTCGGCATGATCCAGTTTTCGCCTGCGTTTTTCAAGCCACTCAGAATGTTGGAGTTCAATGAAGTCTTTGCACACGAGCAGAACATTCGGCACAAGTTCGTTGCAGAGTCCCAGGGCACACTCATGGCAATTTTGCCTGTCCATACATGTGAGGAACGTGACCTTTTCCAGCTCCTCGTCCAGTCATCCCCATTATTTTCGGATTCCAACCGGCAACCGAACTGGACAGCTCTCGCAGTCGTTTGGGCTGGACACGCTGATGGTCGTAATATTTTCTATAAGGTATGGTTTTTGTGTCGTGGTTTGTACAATTTGCACTGATGACTTGCTGACATTCGAAAAGCTCCCAGAACACCTCAAGACATACTACAAGACATGGATAGATTTTTGCAACGAGCAAAACACGATTTCGCTCAATGCTGAAGTGAGTCGGCGCATCCGTGCTCTCGTCCACTCTGCCCCAACCAATGTCACCATCAAAGCACCCACAGCACTCCCCACAACCCTGCATGACTCACTGGCAGTCAGCCTATGTGTTGACATCGACGAGGTCAACTCATGGCAGATTGGCAAGCTACTCGCTGACTGTGCCCTGCAGCGGTCAGCAGTCCACTATCTTTATGCTGATAGTATGCACGTGCATCCCTTGGTCGCAGGATCCTCGCGTGAGCGCAAACGGAAGGCAGACAACCACCCTATAGGCTACAACAGGAAGTTCAGAAGGTGTTAATGGACCTGGCAAGCGCACGAACAAGCCACAAAAGTGCCGCAACTGTCAAAGTACTCAGTGCGCAGGAAGATGGGCTGTCAAGAAATCCACATTACCTCTCAAACCGGTATGTTTTGTGATGAGTCTTCGCACACTGTTTCATGTTGATTCATTTTGGACTTAGGGCATTCAATAAATGACTTGGTTAGATTGCTTCGCTGCTCTCATTTAGCTTTCGCCATTGTAGCTATTGCAAACCGGCATCTTTTTATCATAGCAATGGTTCAACGTTTCATGTGTCTAAGGAATGTTTTCCCTCTCCTCCCTCTCCTTATTTAATTTAATTAATTTAAATTAATATTCTGTCGATACCCACACCTATAGTTTGACTGCTGAAATTCACTCGATTCCGTCTATTGCATTCCATATCTGATATGAGTACTAGTGATATAAGCTACGATAAGCCTGAGTAAGACTGCGGCGGCCAAGGCTAGATCAGCATTAGAAGCCATCCCATCTGATCACTTTCGATCAGCCTGCACTGTGCCTGCCTTATCTACAAGGCATGTTCAACCTTGGTGAGTTATGCCAGGCTGGAGCCCTGAAATTCCAAATTCAGAGGCGGTTTTGCTTCTCAAACGAGCACCTTTTTCGATCTAGACGGGTAGAAATATCCTTGTTTTGCCTTATCAGTTTACATTCTGTTTATAGCCTCTAAACATGTACTACTATTCCGGTTGGTTCTAAATCTGGTTTCCGCAGTGAGTGAGCCTCAACTTTCAGAAAGATCTGAAGTCTCTATTTCAGCTGTACCGGTGAATGCATCTCTCTCGTTCACCTTGGGTCGGTCTATGTCTTGTCTTTATCCTGTTAATGGTCACTGTGTCCTTTCGCTGCAATGCAATGAGTTGCACCTGGGAAAAGGATACAGATTCTCGTGGACTCAGCCGGCATCGCGCTACGTGCAGGCACTACCAGAGGGCAAGCACATTAGCTATGAAGACCAGGCGGGAACGAGCAAAAGAGTCCACTCAAACATTACAAAAATCGACCCCACTGGCACGGACAACAACTAGTACGATGGTAAGTCATCTACATCTAAGGTCATCCGAGAATTCCGGCATAGTAGACTTACAGTGTATTAAACGCAGCCACTTGAACCAGTCCAATTCGTAACAAATCGTCGTTCGAAACCTATAGCCCATTGTGAACCCAAGGTGTTCAAGGTACCTACTAAGCGCGTCCAAGTCGATCCGGCTAGTACTACTACTCCGGTTGGTGCCTCCGAAGCTTTCACATTGCACTGTCAGGACTCCGAAGATGTTGTGATGGCGGATACCACCAATGGCGACCGTGATCTTCCAGGTGTGCACGTTCTTGAATTTTGTTTACTGCAGTAGCCCTCATGGATCACCCGTAGACCCACGTCAACATCCTTCGCGACGCATATTCGTACCAAGGAATTTCGATGATCTCCTGCCTACCAATGAAGACATCAATCCCTCAAGTTTTCCTGGGAATGACCAGTCGCTTGCGACCGAAACTCAGAATCCACCGCAGCGTAGAATCCAAAGAGTCCTCTTGACACTACGCGACACTCTCCAAACAGCGTTCGACATTATTGGACTCTCTCAACATTATCCTCGACGTCTGTCATTTGAGCCTGATAAATTTGTTCCATCTGCGCTATTAGCCAAATCTTCTCCCAAGACTGGTGACACGCACGATACCCAAGGACCATACACACTTCCTGGCGTCTCTGAACCACCCTTTCCCTTTCCTAACATGACCATCTATCGTCTCATGACCTGGATGAACTCCGGCAGCCACCAGAAATCACAGACTGAAGTAATGTGCCTCATCAAAGATGTAATTCAAGCCGAGGATTTTAATCCCAAGGACCTGGATGGGTTTTCGGTCAGGAGGTACCTGCGGGCACTGGACAATGACAAAAGCCAGGAAACCGCCACTTTTCCTGACAATTGGGTCAAGGCGGATGTCAATTTGGACATTCCTACAAAGTCCAAAAATGACGAGTCTGTATCATTTAGTGTTCCGGGATTTCATTATTGGCCACTTGTAGCAGTTATTTGCTCCGCATTTGCTGATATTCAAGCTAATGCATTCCACCTCTTTCCTTTCAAGCGCTTGTGGAAGGATCCCCTGGACGGCCATGAAGAGCGTGCATTTGATGAGCTCTACACCTCCGACTCCTGGCTAGAAGCTCAGGATGACCTGCAGAGGCAGCCAAAAGAACCTGGCTGCTCAGATGGAATATTGAGAAGGGTCTTTCTGTGGATCTTCACTTATTCAGCTGATTACTCTGAAAAGTGTGCTCTTTTTCTTTTTCTTTTTCTTTTTCTTTTTCTTTTTCTTTTTCTTTTTCTTTTTCTTTTTCTTTTTCTTTTTCTTTTTCTTTTTCTTTTTCTTTTTCTTTTTCTTTTTCTTTTTCTTTTTCTTTTTCTTTTTCTTTTTCTTTTTCTTTTTCTTTTTCTTTTTCTTTTTCTTTTTCTTTTTCTTTTTCTTTTTCTTTTTCTTTTTCTTTTTCTTTTTCTTTTTCTTTTTCTTTTTCTTTTTCTTTTTCTTTTCTTTTTCTTTTTCTTTTTCTTTTTCTTTTTCTTTTTCTTTTTCTTTTCTTTTTCTTTTTCTTTTTCTTTTTCTTTTTCTTTTTCTTTTTCTTTTTCTTTTTCTTTTTCTTTTGTAGAAAAGCTTGGCCCACTAGGATTTGATGCTTTCCGCATGCTCGTCGTTGATTTTCATGCATGAATGCGAGCTGGGCACGTGGAAGGCACTGTTTACACATCTCATCCGTCTACTTTACTCACTTCCGGGCGGCAATAACCTGGTTGCATGCCTCGATCACAGGTTCATTGTAATTTTTTTTTCAGGTATGAAACTGATGGCAGTAAACTTAGATTTCGTGAAGTTCCATCCTACGGCCACGGCATCACACCCCTGCTCAACTTGCTAAGCATGAGCGTCGTTGACCCATCCTTCAGCGTGTAGCAGAAATGGGACGCAGTTCAGACACTAGCCAGGAGGTGCCAATCGACTTGCCTGTCAGGCTCAAAGATCATCACTACATACCGAATCTTAGCCACAACAATCCATTACATGTGTTCAGATTTCTTCAACAACATGAAAATGATCCGGCTGTATCAGTAGGCGCAGTCTTCCTCATCACTCACCTCGCTCATGATAACTCATAGGGGTTCATACCAAAACTTAAGGACCACATACTATATCGACTTCGAAAGTTAGACGTCAGCTATTGTGACCATAGCTTCACTGATGATGAGCGCAGTTCCGTCATCATCCCAGACAACAAGATATACTCTGTCCAAACAATGCAGGTATATTATGCACGTTATAAGCTTTTACTAGGATATGACCGTTCAACTTCGCAGGTACATTACACCACTTATGACCTTCGACGAGAGTATGACACCATCAATCCTCGGACACATTCCGACGTCATGGTCTTATCTGGGGAAACGAAGCCCCAACATCCATACTGGTATGCCCGGGTTCTGGGCATCTATCACATGGATGTATGGCTTAATACTGAAGGTTCCGTGAAAATGCACTAAATCGAGGCTCTCTACGTTAGATGGCTCGCCCCCTTGACCGACTACCAGTCAGGGATGAACTGTGCTCGGCTTCCAAAGGTTGCTTTTGTTGAAGAGTCTGACCGTGATGCATTTGGGTTTTTGGATCCCGGTCAGGTCATCCGAAGTGTGCATTTGATTCCGGCTTTTGCTTCTGAGCGCGGAACAACCTCCCTTCGCCATGGAAAGTCTTTTGGACGTCAAAATGGTGAATTAGATGATTGGGAAGCGTACTACATTGGCATGTAAGTGCATCCTCCTGTCTCGTTTTTCTTTACTGAGCTGCGGACCACTCAGATTCGCTGATCGAGACATATTCATGCGTTATACACCCTGTGGAATCGGACATCCTACCGTCCTGTGTGAGATGACAAGAAATTGTGCCAACGCGGAGCTAGCAGACTGCCCAGACTCGCAGGATGGTGAGGGTGATGGAAATGTGGACTGGGAGAGTGATATTCAACACTGCCACGAAGGTGACAACTTGGAGGAGGGTGAAGTTAATAAAGACCAAGGCAAAGATGAAGATGAGTGGGATTGTGAAGACGGCGAGGAAGCAGAGGAGGAGGAGGAGAAGGAGGAGGAGGAAGAAGAAGATGATGACCATCTGTCTTTCTGAACAGCCCGAGCCCTGCCAGGCCTCCAGAATGTGCATTCTTTTGCCCAAGTTGATGTGTCTCAGTGGGCCCTTGCTTTTGTTGTACAAAACCTCTCACCTTATTTGCCGTACTACACAATCACACGCAAACAAATCGTTAAACTCAACAGTCGCTGCTTCGTTTCACTCAAACCTGGAAAGTCTTTAATGATCTCTTAACATGAACCATAAACAGGCATAAGTGAGAATACTTAACACAAGTGCGCTTCTAACCCTTGCTAGCCGCAATGGCAGACTGTCATGAACCGCCAGACTAATCTATATTTATTGACCATGGTTAAAGTGACTGTCCCATGGAAAGTCTTGAATGATGTCTTAATATGAAACATAAACGGACATAAGTGAGAATGATCAACAAGACGGACACCAGTGTGCTTCAGTCCCTTGCTGACTGCGATGGGGGCAGGTCACGACTTTGTCACGAACTGCCAGGCCAACCTTATTTGTTGAAAAGTGCCAAAGCGGCAATCCTGCAGAAAGGCTTAAATAATCTATTAATATCAAGCATCAACATTAGTAAGTGAGAATGATCCCCAACATGAACGCCAGTGCGCTTCTGTCCCTTGCTAGATGTGGCAGCAACACGTCACGACTTTGTCATGAACTGCCAGGCCAATCTATATTTGTTGACAAGTACTCAAGTGACTGTCCTGCAGAAAGTCTTGAATGTTCTATTAATGTGAAATATGGGAAATCGTAAGTGGGAAAGCTCAACAGCGCGGACACCATTGCGCTTTTGTTCCTTGCTGGCCGCG